GGGGGGGGCTAATAGTAAAAATGTAAATATATGGGCCATATCCGATGAATAAAATAAAATAAGAGACTGTTTTGAAAAGTTTCCGTTAAAAATTAATTACATGTTTTGTCGTCCACTGTCCACTTGGGGAGTCTTTGCTCCAGTCGTCCTCTCTTTTCCTACCTTTCTCCCCCACTTTTCCCCATCTCTCTCTCTCTCTCTCTCTCTCTCTCTGCGACAATTATCAGAACACAAGCCCATCGCTCTTAGATCGTAGCTTCAAATCATGGCGTCATCCATTGAAGATGGTAAGAGAAAAGTTCAGATTTTTTTTTTGGGTATTTTGTCATCTGGGTCTTTGATAAATTTTGTTGTCGATGTCGAATTCGACTGGGTTTTGTTTGTTTTAAGCCGATCCCGTTACGTTTGGGCCGGAAGATTCCCTGTTTTGCCGAACCATATTTGTATATTTTTCCCGTACGTGGATTGATTGGTTTAGTTTGCGTGATTATCGGAGAGAATCTTCAACCGTTCGGACATGCGATCTTCATGCTCCGTGTCTTGTCTGCGGAAACCCAAACCAGGAGTATGGAACAATGATTGCGATACTATCTGTAGGCATGATAATTTGGTACTCCGATTGATCAATAAGTTGGAATCGGAATATACATATACATATACATATATGTGCGTATATATGCTGTCTTCCTGGGTTTCTTGTTTCAGTTTCGCTTGATGTCGTGAGTGTATTTGTTCACCAGCCCATAACAAAGAGTTGAATTTGTAGGAGAAGAAAGAGATATAGAGAAGGGAACACTGATTCAAAAGCCGAATCAGAATCAAAACCCTTCTATGGATCCTTCGCCTACCCCTTCCCCGACGGCCACTGCAACTGCCCCGGCACTGGTTCTTTCCAATTCAGGCAAGAGAATGGATCAGGCGGGAAGAAAGAAGTATGTGAAGCAAGTCACGGGTCGCCACAACGACACCGAGCTGCACTTAGCGGCACAACGAGGTGATTTGGATGCTGTACAGAAGATTCTGAAAGATATTAACTCGCAGATGGAGGGGACTTTGAGCGGGGAAGACTTCGACACTGAGGTGGCGGAGATCCGAGCTTCAATCGTGAACGAGGTGAACGAGTTGGGGGAGACAGCCTTGTTCACGGCTTCAGACAAAGGGCATCTCGATGTCGTCAAGGAGTTGTTGAAGTATTCGAATAAGGACAGCATTTCGAAGAAGAACCGGTCTGGGTTTGATCCACTGCATATTGCTGCCATACAAGGACATCATGGTAATATGTTCCTTCTAATCTGTGTTTTGTCGGATTTCTTGTCAACATTTTGATTCAAATGTTGTTAATTTCTGGTTTTGACAAATGAATCTATTTCTTCTCAATGGCAATGTATTGACAAGTGATCGGTTTCTGGCAGATATTGTTCAAGTTCTGCTCGATAATGATCCGACGCTTAGCCACACGTTTGGTCCATCGAATGCAACTCCTCTTGTGTCTGCGGCAATGAGAGGCCATACAGCTGTTGTCAATGAACTCTTATCCAAAGCCGGGAATCTGCTCGAGATTTCTCGATCCAACGGTAAAAACGCATTGCATTTTGCTGCGAGGCAAGGGCATGTAGAGATCATAAAAGCTCTGCTCGCCAAAGATGCGCAGCTAGCACGAAGGATCGACAAGAAAGGACAGACCGCCGTCCACATGGCTGTGAAAGGGCAGAGTGCCGAAGTGGTGAAACTGCTCCTCGAGGCTGATCCCGCCATTGTTATGCTACCAGACAAGTCCTCTAACACGGCATTACATGTCGCTACAAGGAAAAAACGGGCTGAGGTATTTTCAGTTTTTCATCACATTCCGTCCTACATTCATCCCGAGATCGTAGATCAGCTCTTTAACATTTGCGGGTAAGTTGCAGATTGTGGAGCTATTGTTGTCATTGCCCGATACCAACGCAAACGCACTAACCCGTGACCGGAAAACCGCCCTGGACATAGCTGAGGGGCTTCCACTCTCGGAAGAATCATCGTACATAAAAGAATGCCTGGTTCGACGTGGCGCCCTCCGGGCCAACGAGTTGAACCAGCCGAGGGACGAGCTGAGAAGCACCGTGAGCCAGATAAAAAACGACGTCCACATCCAGCTTGAGCAGACCAAAAGGACGAACAAAAACGTACACAACATCTCAAAGGAACTGAGGAAACTCCACCGGGAAGGGATCAACAACGCGACAAACTCGGTCACTGTTGTGGCCGTACTCTTTGCAACCGTGGCTTTTGCGGCGATATTCACGGTGCCCGGAGGAGACAACAACAACGGGTCCGCGGTAGTGGTAAGACGGGCATCGTTCAAGATCTTCTTCATCTTCAACGCCATAGCACTGTTCACGTCACTAGCGGTGGTGGTCGTGCAAATCACGCTGGTAAGAGGAGAGACGAAGGCGGAGAAGAGGGTGGTGGAAGTGATCAACAAGCTGATGTGGCTGGCGTCGATGTGTACGTCGGTGGCGTTTCTGGCATCGTCGTACATAGTCGTCGGGAGGAAGAACAAGTGGGCAGCCGAGCTGGTGACAGTGGTCGGGGGAGTGATAATGGCGGGGGTTCTCGGGACGATGACTTACTACGTGGTGAAGTCGAAGAGGACGAGATCGATGAGGAAGAGAGTGAAGAGTGCGAGAAGAAGCAGTTCCAATTCTTTTCACCATTCCGATTTCTCCAACTCGGACGTCGATCCCATTTTTGCTTTGTGAGAATGCGAGAGTATTAACTCTTGTGTACATACATACATATATACATATATGCGTTTGTGTCGGAAGAGTGGATTGATTGGTTTAGTTTGCGTGATTATCGGAGAGCGGAAGAGCAATGGTCATCATCAGACACGAGAATCGTGTTTAAGGCAGGATACGTGGTCGGGCAAATCAGATTTCGGTTCGGTTATCATTTTAAATCTAAACTTCGGATTATAATAACCACAATAGCTTGGCATATATGAGAAAATATCCAATCACAATTGTTTTAAAACTGCAAGTTTATATAACGGAATAACCGTTTCCGAATCGAACATGACAAATACCGAACTGAAGCCTGAAACCGCAGAAAACATCAACCGCAACCGCAACATTGTTTCAGACGCAGACGTAGACGCAGACGCAAACGCACATTGTGAGAAAATCAAAGGAGTTTACACGAGTTCCGACCAGTTAGTCGGGTTGTCTTCGTTCCACTTTGGCATACAACATAACAGTTCTACGAAATTTACAAACAAACAACAAAAAACAAAGGTAACTTGCAAAGAACAAGGAAAAAGCAACAAGCTGGTGAAGTATGTATAGTTCGATCTGTTTTCCGGTAGCAGGCCATGAGATCGTTATTCGGTAGTGTTCTTCTACGTGACCCGACGGACCGTTTTGCCTATTTGGAGGTTGCTGCCGGGTTGCCAGACTGAAGTTCCTTCTCGAGCTCGTCGAATTCCCACCCATCAACCTCAACATCTGCTGAGTAATCATGCCCGACATTGCCAAATTCGGATTCGAGCTTCGCCAATTCAGCTTCAGGGTTGAATTCGTGACTGGACCCAGCAGGCGAAGGATTGCTCGGCTCGGGTTTCTGGGGTTTCTCCGTCTTGGGTGGATTTTCTTGTGAGGTCCTGTTTGAGATATTTTCTCCGACCTTAGGCAATGATGTTGTGGTGGGAGACTTGGGTGATGTGGTGCTACTCCTAGGGGACGAAGCAGTATTTGCTTTGGGCGATGGGATTTCTATCTCCAAAATCGGCCTCTCTATGGATTCAAATTGCTGCCTCAGCTTTTCGATATCGTCAAATAGATCTTTGACCCTCGGGTCGTCCTTTCTGGTGCAAAAAAAGAGTAAAGAAAGGTATAATGGCAGTAGTTCTAAAACTCTCTTATCGATAGTAAGAATAAAAAAGAACTCACTTTTCGAATTTGCTTTGATGAGCGTAGAACTGCTCTTTCATGTTATCCACAACACTGAACGTGGTTATAATCTGAATTAAAGAAACCTGGATCAGTATATGCCTCCGCCCGAGAGAGAACGCAGAAGAAACGAGGAAACACGCAGGAAGATTGAGGTGGACACTATATATTCATAAGTCAATACACTTTCAAGCTTTGTGTATCATTATATGGGCGGGTTTTTACGAGTCCCAGTCGTGTGCTTTTAGTAGCACACAAATGCAAACGATTAAGCCAGTTGTTACCTTAGCTTCATAGTCTAGATATTCCTCCTCGAGACTTTTCTTTGGGTCTAAACCCTGATTATCCCCTTGATCTGCTGTTGAAACTTTCTCAGACCTGTCTTATTATGCGAAAATGATTAAAATTATGGATTAGAGCAATAACAGGAGCAGTTCAACTCAACAACAAAGCATTACCCAGAACCCAGATTCTTCAGGTTTTCCACAAAATTTGCTATACGACTTATTGCAGGTTCCAACTCTCTCTGTGACATCATAAATGTCGTGTTAGCATTGGCTTTTACAAGTTACAAGTTTATCATTAAGCAGGAAACGATACCTTGTAAGCAGAGAGGAGATTAATGGTCACATCCAAGAAATAGTCCTCATGCTTCTCCAGTTCATCCCTACAAGGCACAAGTATGTTTCAGACTATTAACTGTTTCGGTTCA